TTATTTGAGAACAATAATTCAGACGATATGTTAACTAAACGTGAATCACTTTTAGTAAATACCTCATCACCAATTGATGAACCTACATTACCAATTGATGATCCTTCTTTACCAGAAGAAGATTTAACACAAATAAATGAAGATCCAGAAGTACCAGATGAAGATTCGACCTTAAAAGATAATTCAAATCAAACAAAAGAATTTTCACAACTAACGGATTAATAAAATTTGAAAGATATTCTAAAAAAGATTTTAAAAATTTATTGCCCACAACATAAAAATTTTTTAGCAGTTTTTAAAAATTTCCTAAATCTATTAACAGGTCTAATTGGCACTTCTTGTGGTGTTTCGTTAATTATTGAAGAAGACAATACTTTCTCATCTAATACATTAAGCAAATTTCTTATATTAAAGTAAAATTTTTTTAGTTCTTCTGGATTTGCATTTGTTTTTATATAAAGATTTCTATCAGAGTTAACTCTTACAATATAATCATAAATATTTGCTAAAATTGAATTTGTAGTAAGTTCATAAGCCGAGATTGTTTGTTTAGCAATAAGAATGTTGTTATTAAGAAAAGTGGTGCTAACCGACTCATAGGCTTGCCATGGTAAACTTCCCTTGTGTAAATAAAAAATCACATAAATAAGATTTTCAAGATCATCAGTATATGAAACGCATTTACCAAGATGACAGTTAATAGATGCATATCTAGGTGTCCCATGAAGGAATCGACCCACTCTGTTTATTTGAGAATTAGTAAATCTACTACTCAATCCGAAATCACATAATGCCACTTTTTTGTCTTTATCAAAGTTAGAATATAAAAGAATGTTTTCAGGTTTGAGATCTCTGTAAACCATTTTACATTCTAAGTGTAAATGTTCTAAACCATCTAAAATAGAAAGTGCAATCATTTTTAAAAGACTTAAGCTTGGATTTTTTAAATAGAAGCAATTAGTCTTAAATAATTCTAAAATCAAATAATTATCTATTTCGTAATCGACTAATTTTACAATGTTAGGATGTTCTATATTTCTAAGTATTGATATCTCATTATTTAAATACTCTCGGTGTACATTATCACTTTTAGGTACTTTCATAGCATAGTAAAGTTTTTTAGTTCCTTTATTATATCTTATTTTAAATACAATACCATGTGACCCCTCGCTTATTCTTGAACATAATACGTAATTACCTTTCTTAATTATTTCCATGAATTTCAAAACATTTTGTTTTGAAATTTATCTTGTTTCACAATAAAAACAAATCTTTGTTTGTTTTTATTTAATTAATAAATCACGATATTTAAAAAAATTATATCAAAAGCTACATTGAAGTAGTGTGAGTTACTTTAATTAAAAATTTAAAAATCTTATATTGTTTTTTTATATTTTTATAAAAATTTTAAAAATATACTTTAGATAAAAAAATAATTCATAGATTTAAAAATATCAATTATATAATATGTATTTATTGTCATATAAGTAAATCTAATTTAAATATTTTTTATATAATAAATTATATTAATTAAAACTGTTATTTTATTGAATGTTTTATTTGAAAGTTTAATTCAATAAAATGATATCTAAATAAGAGTTATTTATATATTAATAATTTTTCTAATTAAATGGCTGTTTTTTGAATAATCATTTACAGTTTATTGATATTTTAAGAAAATTTTTATTTAAAATTCAATATGATTTAAGCAAAGTTTTCAGTTATACAGAAATAAAAAATCAT